TTCCCTAGAGTCTCTTGTCCTTGGAAGGGTTGAGATAGATAAGGTTCAGCGATTGATCGTGGTTATCTGCCTACTTCAGGAGGAAGAAAAAGGAGTGAGGTTCTCTATCTTGCTGGAGGTGGCTAAAAGGAGTTGTTTTGTAAGGGATTCTCTACCTAGCTATGGGAGCTAAAGGAGAGTCACGTTGGTAGTGCAATACTCGGAGGGCGCCTTCCGGGAGTGGATGTAGGTCAAGTTGACCGAACCACTATAAATCCTTGTGTTCTTTTTACTGCTTCCAAAATTTAAGTTTTCGCATTCTTTTTAGGTGGTGATTTTGGCTTATGATAATTGTTCCTTTTTTTATGATGTTTTAAAATATCAATTCACCCCCCCCCCTCTTGGTTTGCCTCGGGACTAGTTCATAGGGCCTAACATCCCTAGCAAACTTTCACATCGTCCATGGACGAATGTGTTAAATTGACTGGATGAATAGTTCAAAGTACAAGTCCAAAGGACATCATCCTGGGATGAATGGGTTAGAATCATCTGGACGATCAGTACTTGGAAAAATTTTTGCCCGCTCTGTTCGTTCCATTTCTCTTTGGGGACTATAACTGACCAGATCATCCCGTACGAAAACATGGTTCATACAGTACGATCAGTATTATAAAATTGTGAATTTTAAAGCCCTCCCTTGGTGTGTGTGTGTACTAAATTACTCAATCAAAATGACACTCTCTCAGACTCAAATAAATGAAAAATACATACTCCAAGTTATAAAACATATTAAGCAGATCTTGATTTGAAGTCTTTAATAATTTTGAGTATGATTTCCTTGAAATGTTAGTACACACAAGAGCAAAAAATAAATCTTCCAAAATATGTTAGGAGAAAATAATAATAAAAATAATAATAATAGGAATCAGCAATACATACAAGTTGCAAGAATATAAAACATGCAAGGCTAAGTAGTAACTCTCTCAATAATTGAACCATCTCAAGGCTACCCAAGAGGGGAGGGGGAGAATTGCAAATTTAAAAATTCTCTTGGATTTTAGAAATCGATTTAAGATACTTGGCACAATGCTAAATTTTTACAAAATATTTTTCAACCACAATAAACTAATGTACTAAAAATATAAATATAGTAAAAGTAAAATAATAGAATAACACAAAATTTTATAGTGGTTCGGTCCAACTAGACTTACATCCACTCCTTGAAGACTCCTTCTTTAGGTATTTCACTAAATCAAAGTGACTCTCCTTTTACCACCACAGCAAGGCGGAAAAGCCCTTATAAAACCTCTCTTCTACCAACCCAGTAGAGTACCAATTCCCTTTCTCACCCTCCTAGTGATGGAAAAGTACCAAAGTCCTTTCTCACCATTTTGGTGATGGCAGAGTACCAATATCCTTTATCACCTCCTCGTGGCAAAAGAGTACCATGATTTTTTTTTTAATTCTTCTACTTTCGCGGGCATTCGGTGATTGGTGGTTTCGGCGTTGGCCGACCGTCGGCCGGTGGTTGTTTCATTTCATGGTCTCCATTCATCAGATTGATGATGATCGGTCATCCTCTCGTCGTTCTTCTGGCATTGATCATCGAATGGAGGCTCATTCTTATGGAACTGATAAACTGAGTGGCAGAAGTGGAAATAATCTTGTAATCAGGGAGGTCGCCCGACCTCCGTCTCGCCAAGAAGTGGTTGTGGAAGGTAAGGGCAAGAAGATTATGATGGAACGTGGATTAGAGGGTGATAGTGACCTTGTTAGGGCTGAAGGAGTTGATGGAAATCAAATTCTGAGGTTTCTTTTTATACGAGGTTAATTTTGAAGGTTAATAAATTTGTTTAATGTAACGAAGATTTCATTGGCCGCAATTTAGTTTCTGAAATTGATGATGTGGGGAACCATGGGAATTTTTCCAGCAATGCTCTTGAGGAGATTTCGGTGACAGAGGACAATCAGGGCAGGGATGAAGATGGAGTTGTTAGTAAAATTGAATTGAGGACTGAGTTCAGTGAAGCTTGGAAGAAACCCAAATATATCAAGATTTCTTTTAGCTGGGATCTTGCTGAGATGTCGGAGGATGGTATAACTGTCAAATTAAATGCTGAGAAGGAAATGTTAAATTCTCAAGTTCTTAAACACTCTTTGGTTATAAAGGTTCTAAGGGATAAAATTTCATTTCCAATGTGCAGCGTTAAACTGAGGAGGCAGATGAATAAGTTTGGGAGATTTCACATGACTTTGCTTGGTATGAATTGGATCTTGTGTTCGTTTAAGAATAGGAAAGCGATGGATGAAGTCTTGAATGGTGGGCCATGGTATATAGGAGGATACATTATGGGTATGGACAAGAGGTCGCCGTTGTTCAATCCCAATTCATTTAAAGGCATTACTACACCTACTTGGGTACGTCTTCCTTGTTTACCTCTTTATTGTTGGGATGAAGAGAACATTGATAGAATTGCAATGAGAATTGATGTTCTAATGTATGTGGATGGAAATTCATTTAAATGGGGAAAACGTGAATTCGCCCGGGTGTGTGTTAGGATAAATCTAGAGAATAGCTTACCAAATGGAGTTTGGATTGATGGCATAGCAGGACGTTTTTTTTCAGAAAGTTGAGTATGAGAAATTAGACTTGTTTTACTATCAATGTGGCAAAGTAGGTCATGAGAGAAAGGTCTGTCCTGCGGTTGTGAGATCGGTTACTGGTGAGAAGACTGGAAGTAAGTAGGGTATAGCCAGTGTTGAGACAGCCCATGTATAAGGTTATTCCCACGGGACTGAGTTTGGTCCTTGGATGCAGGTCTATTTCAAAAGTAGGAGAGGTAAAAATAGAAGAACTGCTGAGGGCTGAAGGCCTGGAAGAAATTTGAAATTAATGAATCAAGATGGTCAGAATACAGTGCAGAACGATGAGAAGAAGGTGAATATTGATACGGCACAGACTGATCTATTGGATCTAGATAGTGGCAAGCAAACCAATTTGATGAAGGATAATGTGGATTTGGGATTGAATATTGAATTTAATAATAAGTTTGAAGCGTTAGTAGAAGATGTTGAAGAAGGTGAAATGGTTAATCATCTCACATTGGAGCAGTCACGAGAAAACTTAGCTGTGGAGGAGACTTCAGAGGTAGTGAAAGAGGCTGATGTTGGCTTGGATGGCTTTAAGACTGTTGGTGTTGTTAGTAGTAATGTGGTCAAGTTCAAATTGGCCAAAGAGGTAAAATCATTGGGGCCTCTTGAACCCGAGCATAGGAAGAAGAGAAGAGATGGGAAAGGTTGTCTGAAAGGTGGGGACTCTTCCCCTCAATTGATTTAATGTCTTCCATTGTTTTCTGGAATTGTAGGGGGGCCAAAAAAAGTGAGGTCTCTCTATATTTGAAGGAAATTGTTAGGGATTATGATGTTTTTTATATTGGAATTGTGGAAACTAAACTCAATAATGTTGATAGAAGGGATGTGGACAACTTGATTGGAGGTAGTTGGGATTTCTTCCATTTCCCTACTAGTGGGAATTCTAGGGGTATTCTGGTTTTATGGAATAGAAATGTGGCTTCTTTTGTGGTCGAGTAGAGCTCTTCTCAAGTGGTTGTCGGGGATCTTACCACTCCTTCTTGGGGTGATTGGAAAGTGGCGACTGTATACGGTAATAACTACTATGTTGAAAGGAAGAGTCTTTGGAGGCTATTAGAAAGCTCCTTGATTGGGATGGGTCCATCCTTGGTGGGAGGAGACTTTAATTGCATTTTGAGTAGGGATGAGAAGAAGGGTGGAAAGTGGTTCCTCTTGTCTAAAGGACCTAGGGAGTTGAGGGATTTTATGACTAACTCTGATTTACATGATGTAGGTTTTGTTGGACCAAGTTTTACTTGGTGCAATAACAAGGAGGGAGCTTTAAGGATTTGGTAAAGGCTGGATAGGTGCTTGATAAATTCTACATCTTTACAGTTGGTTCCTTCGGAAAAGGTGCGGCATCTTGCTCGGGTGGCGTCGGATCACTGTCCAATTATTTTTAAATTGGATAATGTACAGCTTAATAAAACAAGGTTCATTCAATTGGAACATTGTTTACAATTCTTGGAGGAGGAAGGATTTCGGTGATGAAGTGGAGGTCCTTAAAAGAAAGCTTAGAAGGACGCTGCATGCTTTGTTCTTTTGGATCAAAAACAAATGTAAGGATTTATGTAAACTGCAAGAAGAGTGGAAGCGAGAAATTCTGGAGTTGAAGATCAAAGGGCTACGGAGGATACTTTTTCTGTTGAAGATCTGGTCTTGCTCAGGGGCAAAGTTCATGAACACAATGTTACTCTTAGAAGATTGTCTACATGGTGGAATCAAAGGGCCAAGGATAGATGGCAAGAGGAGGGGGATACAAATTAAAATTTTTTTCCCAACTTTGAATCGGTTAGGAGAAATGCAAAGTTAATTAAACAAATTAAAGATGAAAATAACCAAATGGTGGAAGATGAGAGTCTGATTGAGCAGGTTTTTATTCAGTTTTTTGAGAAGAAATGGAGGAGCCGTGAATGTCAGCTGACGGGGTGGCCAAGGATTGCTGCAGAACAAAAATTGAGCTTACTGGATATGAATTTCCTGGATGCAGAATTTCTCTTGGAAGAATGCAAGGAGGCTATTTTTCAGCAAGGTAATAACAAATCATCTCGGGTAGATGGAGTTACCTTCTCATTTTTTAAATGCTATTGGAAGCATGTTGGAGACAGTACATGGAAGGCTATTAGTATTTTTTTTATTTTTGGGAGTATGCACAATGAGTGGAAGGATACCTTGATTGTTCTTATACCCCAAGTGAAGAATCCAATTGTACCATCTAATTTTCGGCCCATCAGCTTGTGCCAAACTACTTATAAGATTGTTTCCACTATGTTAGTAAATAGACTGAAGAAGCTTATGCCTAAGATATGTTCTGAAGAACAGATGGCCTTCATTCCAGGCAGATCTATGTCTGAACACTGTATCTTAGCCCATGAGATCTTTCACAGGTTTAAAGTTTCTAAGAACAAAAAATGGTGTATGGTGGTAAAACATGACATGGAACAGGCTTATGATAGCATGGGTTGGCCAACCTTACTTTAAATCCTCAATTGGTTTGGTTTCCCTTCGGTTTTTTCAGGGTTTCTTATGGAATGCATGGTAAATGTGAGGTTCTCTATTATCTTAAATGGGAAGATTCTGAAATGGATCAGTGCTTGTAGTGGTTTTCGACAGGGATGTCCACTCTCCCCCTATTTGTTTATTATGTGCTCACAATTGTTTTGAAATTGTATTGAGCAGAGGGGACAAGATCTGGTTGTTCAGATTTTTACAAGAGGTCCTTAGATTTCACACCTCCTTTATGCAGATGATGTACTTGTGTTTTCAAAAGCTATTTGCTCTTCGGCCAACTTAGTGAAGAAAATTGTTAAAGATTTTTGTAGGTGGACTGGGCAGAATGTGAACATCAATAAATTCCAAATTATGTTTGGGAAAGTGGTTAGCAGACATCAAAGAAACAAGGTGGTTGAAATACTTGGATTCAAAGTTGTGAAGGAATGGAAGTACTTGGCTATCAAGATATCTCTTAGGAGATTAAAGGTGGCAGATTTTCATGATTTCTTGAGCCAAGTTATGGATAGATTAAATGTGTCAGGTAAGAAGTTTCTATCTTTGGGTGGTAGAATTACTTTGTTGAAGACTTCTCTGCTTTCTATGCCAAACTTTTTACTTACCATTCCATTGTGCCTAAAAAAATTGTATATGAGATGGAAAAGATGTGCAGAAATTTTATTTGGAACAAACCAGATGGGAAGAAGGGCTTACATTATGTGACGTGCAGTGAGATTTGTAAGCCAAGATGTGTAGGAGGATTGGGTGTGCAATCTTTAGCTATCAGAGCAGGTATATTGCGGACTAGATTGGCTTGGAATTATATCCGGAACCCAATGACTCTTCTTCACCGAACTGTTACAGCCAAGTATAGAGATGTGGTCCTGGACAGGATCTGTAAAAAAAATGCATCTTTTTCTATGCAAATACTTAAAGATGGTGGAATACAGCTTAAAAATATTGTGAGATGGAAGGTTGAAGCGGTGAGCAAATTAATGTGCTTGGTGACATTTGGCTTTTAGACAAAATTTTAAATGCTTGGCCGACTTTTGTGGATTGTATATCCTTGGAAGGTATGATGGTGCAACAGCTTATCTCTAATGAGGGTAACTGGGATGAGGGAAAACTTAAGATGTTCTTCCAGGAAGAGTTTATATTGCTTATCATGCAAGTTAAAATTGATACAGTGGTAAAGATGGATAGGCTGGAAACTATCAGTAAGCTGTCGGGTAGATCTTTATCAGCCTTGGCATATGATTTTGTGTTTAGAGATAAATATATGGATGATGATGGAGGTTTTGGTATGTGGTTGAAGAACATTATGTTTAATAGCAAGGTGGAACTTTTTTGGTGGCGACTAAGTAAATTTTCTATTCCTAACAATCATTTCCTCAAGTATAGAAAAATTGCTAGTGATGACTCTTGTGCTAGAGGGTGTCAAGAGGTAGAGAATTATGAACATATTGTGGTTCATTGCAAATACCTTAATGAGGCTTTTTCCGCTATTCATGGTTGGGGATTTGCTCTTCCTAAGTTTCATTCCCTGGATGATTGCTTAGAGGAAATGAGGAGAAGTTCGGCCAAGAATAAGAGTATGGTGAGACTTTACTGCACAGGAGTTTTTTTGTTTTGGAAAAACCGCAACTTAGTGAAGCACGGTAGAGCTGCTATGACTAGTAGCTTGGTGGCGGCAAATGTCATCTCTCTCTCCACATTTAAAAATAATCTATATCTAGATAGCTGGGTACTAATCTACCACGGGAGTCTACAACAACTTGGCACCCTCCACCGCTAGATTGGATCAAGATTATTTTGGATGCTTCTTGCTCCCTTCTTATCGGGCTGGCATTGGTGGGATCTTTAGAGACTACAGAGGTAGACTTCTTTTTGCATTCGATAAGAATACCATACATTGGGATATTGCTCAAGTTGAGCTAGAAACTATTTTTACAATAAGAGAATTCATCAAAAATTGAATGTTGGAAAGTAAAGGCATTATAATTGAAAGTGATAATATCAATGAGATTACACACATTCAGGATTCTTTGAAGAAGGTGGAGTGGAAAATGGAGAATTGGCTGATTAAGGAGCTTCTCTTCCTTAAGGACTTTAATAAAATTGTTTTTCCTCATGTTAGTAGGGATTGTAACCGAGTGGCTGATTTTTGTGCCACTTTGGCACTAGATAGTATTTTTACTTTTGATAGTTTCTCTTTAGGTAACATTCCTTCTTCTTTGATTGAGTTAATCAAGGAGGAGTGCTATCATTCTAGACTTTGTAATTAGTTTGTTTGTTCCATTTTAATGCAACTTCTGCAGCTTTAAAAAAAAATAAATCTACTCTCAAAGCATTCAAGGAAGTAGGATGAAAACTTAAAGAACAAATAAGAGATTCTTACCTTTGAGTAACCTTGTGAATCTCTTCATAATGTTCTCTCATTAGATCTATAAAATTTCACTCCTTAAACACTGTTCCAAACACTCTCCTTTTCTGCTCTTTAATGTAATTAACAACAAGATCAGTAGAGTGTCAGTTTTTAAGACATTTATATATTAAAGATATAAAAACCATCTAGAAAACTAAAAATTTTAAGTTGAACTTGCTCAGATCGTACAGTTTGATCACACTTCGTCTATATGAATAGTTCAAAAATTCATGTACGAACCTAATTTTGTTCTCTATCAGTCTTCTGTATGAACTAACATTGTATAATACAAATGATATAAAACTGAACTAATTTGTCTTGTATAACTCTACACGAACCCAATTCGTACATTATGAATCATCGATATGAACCATACATTGTATAATTCAAACTATTTAAACAACTAATGGTTCATTTGGTATGAATGTGGACGACTCCATTTCGTACTCTATGAGTCATCTGAACAAACCCAACATTGTACAATACGATCACGTCAAAAATTGATGAGATTATTTTGGATGAACTACTACGTACCCATTTCATACTCTGTTAGTTGTCCATACAAACTCCTCTTTATACAATACGAACAGTTCAAAAATTGATGAGTTTATTTGGGTCGAATTGGTACATCCTCATTTTCTATATACTCTATGAGTCATCTGCATGAAATATTATCGTGCAATATGAACAGTAAAAAAAATTCCCTAGCTTGATTTGATTAACTTTATTTTAAAGGAACTACAATAACAAACCGTCCATTGCAATTTTAAAACCGTACAATATGATTAGTTTTAAAATTTAAAGTTTTGACTTACTCCCCCGGCCAATGTGTGTGTGTGTGTGTGGCTACCCAATTATAATCACACTTTCTCAGACTAAAAAAAAAAATAGAAAAATTATAAACTTCATTATAAGAAATACTATATTAAAGTCTTCAGTGATCTGGAGTATAATTTCTCTGAAACATTACTACTATGTTAGGAGAAACAATAATCATAACAATAATATTTTGGTGACATAAAAAAATCACAAGATATAAAACTTAATCTTGAAAGCTAAGTTGCAATAATATATTCTTCAGCAGAGGCAACCTACTTTGTCTTTTTACATATGCCCACTTAATGAGAATCAACTCTAATAGAGTCTACTCCTACATTATCACAACAGCCCACTTACTAGGACATGCACTCTTATCCATCTCCAAACAGTTGCCACTATTCACTATAGGTGGCATCCTCATGGCCTTAATCACCACTCCATTCATTTATACTTTTCTATTTAGGCTAGGTGGTCATGAGTTAACCAAATCAATGCTCTTTCTGACAACTTCCATGCTAACACCCCTACTTGGAAAAGCCTCAATTGTGTTAGCTATCCTCTTCTTAATTCACTCAGTACATCCATGACAGAGGGTTGTTCTCTTCGATCTGCACATGGGAATGATATATCGCAACAGGATCTAATTCCATCACATATGCTCATCGACTCTCAATTCTCAGAAGTTGGAAGTATAGTTCTCTAGGGAGAAAACCTCAGTTTATAGGAGAACCTAACAATAGGTGGTGTAAGATCATCATCGGGTCACCATTGAAGGTCAATGGACCTTGTAAAATAATAGTAAAAGTTAAGAATTAAATTCACATTTCTTTCTTTGTTTACTTTTGAGAGACCCACTTATTTTCATTCACTATCCCTTTTTGCCACTTTTTCATTAAAGGGATGATTAAATTGTAGAACAAAATGTATGCTCATAAATGCCTTCATTGATGTTTACAAGGTAGCTATCGAACCATGATAAGGACCTTTTACCTAAAGAACGGTTCCTTTGATGCACTCACCTTGGACTATTAGAGGAACTTTCCAGAGGAGATCAAGTAGCTTTACTTTCCTTGAGTCCAATAATGAAATCACATGGGAAATTTGAGGTGCCTTTTCAACTAAGCAGATAACTACGTGGTGCTACCACAACCACTAGCTCTCTTACGAAACCTTCTTCTTCATGCTCGAAAAGCTTAGTTGTATGAAAATGCTTAAAAAGGGGACCCCTCACATCATTATGATATCATTGCTTGGCCAAAATTTCTCCTCTCTTGTGACATTATACCCTCATCTCTCTTTAATGCAGTTTAAAACCCTCTAAACAAGTTGTCAACAAGACCCAATTACTCACTAGTTGCAAGTCCTTAAATCCCAGGAATCTTACTCGTTGATTTACACAATGCCTACTACAACAAGGCTTGCCCAATATGAGTGTGCCTAAGAGCCCATTTACTTCATCATTCTACATCTCATTAGGAGGACATTTTTTTTCTCTATATTGTTTTATCGCAGCCCTTAGAACCCTATAAATATAAATAATGAATGATAAGGAATAGTTTTGGGGGAGCGATGTCTCTAAGATTTATCTTTAATTTGAACTTTATAGACTAGTTGGAGATCTGTAGCTATTTTTTCTCCTTTATGCCTTTACTCTTTGTTCTCACGTGGAGATTTCAGCTCACCCAATAGCCAAGCTAATAAAGTCAGTACGATCCACCATAAACTTTGAATTCAACAATCATTATTCTACTGCATATACTTATTTATGTTAATAAGGCTAATATACATAAAAGCCTAATAGCAAATGACACGTTACTTCCCAAACAAAGCTATATTATGTGATTATCTATGATGAATAATTTAATACTTAAGAAATGAACATTTTCAGATAAAAACTTAAATTTTTTAGACTATTTTGATTATATAAAATATATTGTTACTCTTATTGATATAGGACCACAAGCCTTCCTTAAAAAAAAGGAAAAACATACATACCAAAAACAAAAAAAAAAAGCTTTAGTGAAATCTATATGAGAAGACAGTAGTCATTTGTATGTGGCTTTGAGCGAACTGGTACATGTCTAGACGGGCATCATGTTATCATTTTCCATCTTATCTTTCACCTGGTTTGTCCACTCTTCAGTCATTATCTTTTGTTCATCATCAATAGCGGCAGGCTTGACTGCTATGTTCTTCTTCACCGCCTTCTCATCAACCTTTTTATTTCCTCCTGGCTTCTTGTAGATTACGTAGAGAATCATTTGTGCTAATCCAAACAGGAAACCCAATACATTCGGAAGCTGAACAGCCAGTATATGTAGATCACATCGTATTACATACATGAACATAATGGTTTTAAGCAAGTGCTTAAATAATATTGAAATTGATCAAATGAATTATAATGTTATATCTATGAATGAAATATAAATGATCAAAGTCAGAAGATTACATTTAAAGCATTGAGGACATGCATTCACACAGTAATTTAAAAACAAAAAATGGACAAATTGCTTAGTTGTAGCTTGATTCAATTTCGATATGTTCAAATGCATGTCCTCTATTTCAAGTATTTTTTCTTCTACCGTTGATCATATATATTTCGTGAACACGAAAAGTAATTAATAGAATATCCAGAAATTTGTTTTTACAAGAAAATAATCACTTACCATGACATATAGATCCTTAATAAGCAGTCCATAGGAGAACCATGCAACAGCGCTAATGGTGAGAAAGAATGATAGGTTAAATGGCATGAATTCAACGCTCTTTGTTGCTATTACTAGTTTCTGTAAAGTCAAATGAAATCAGATGTCAAAATTTTAGTTGTTGATTGCCAGAAAAGAATTTCCAGAAAAAATGAGCTATTGTCACACTTTACTTTTAAGATGTGGTTAGTATTATACTAATAAAACTAATCATTAGTATTATTATTTTAAAATTTTGATTAAAAAAATAAATAATATTCTTTTCTTTTATAATCATACCTATAAGAGCTATTCTATCTAATAAACAAAATTTTATTTTATTTCATAAAGCATTTTGTTGTGTCATGTGATGTGATTTTTATATTGCAAAAAAGAAATCTTTGATAAAAAAAAATGGCCGAACAATTATTAGTAAAAATATGTTTAGAAAATATAATCTTGAAAAAGTATTTTAACTCTATTTTGTAAATAACAAAATGAAATTTTGATTAAAAAAAAACAACTAATAAAGGCATCGTAATTGAATTTAATGACTGAAAATAATTATCTTAAAATTTTCGAGCATTCAATTTAATCTCACCATGATACTTAAAGGAGCAGCGAAGACGCATACTGCAAATCCAACACAAATCCATCCGACTACTTTCACACGTGTGTCGCCTTTCGAAAGTACTATCGTGGAAAGAACTATCGCAGAGAAAATTCCTCCGTCCAATAATAAGATTATTTTGGCCGCACGAACCTGCAAAATTGTATTATTTGATTACCATTGATTTATTTCAAAATTGAAGCTTTTGTAAACCGAGAAAAACAAATAAAAGCAAAAGTGATATACCCTAGCTTTCTTATGTGCATATGCCAGGAAAACGGCTATATAGATGGCTTCAATAACGCAGCCGATGGAGTTGATGATGATGAGAAGCAAAACATTAGTTTTGATAAATGCATAATAAAGCCACAGCATGGCGCTAAATAAAGCCACAATATAGGGCACGGCCTGAAACCCTTCTGTTGATCTTTTCTTGTAGATACGATAAAACGTTGACCTGCAGAAATATATTTTTTGTGAGCCATGAAGATATATATATATCTATATATATAAGCTATTGATTTGTTTGTTCTACCGTACTAAGAGTTTACAGGAAACAAAAAATAATTATAAAGGAAAAAAAAAAAGAAGGGATCGAGGTTGGCTTTACATTGGAGCAAGGAACACCATAAATGAGATAATATTTCCTGGAATGAGCAAGAAATACAAGTATATAAGTTAGAAATTTGTTTAACAGGTTGAACATAGTGGAACGAATAAATTCACAGCAAGAAAAAACTGTAATGTCACAATTAGCTCTTAGAGAAACTCACACGTAATCTATTACGTACATCTGAAATGTACAAAAAGAAAGGGCTTAAATAATTAACATGAAATAAATGCGAGGACTTAATGTGCAATAAATAAGAATAAGATTCGTAACCAATTTTTTTTTTTTTATTTTACAGCTTACATAGACCAAATAATAAGAAGGAATGTCTTCCTTCCATGGTATGTAAGCAAAATTAAATTCTACATGAGCAGCTTCTTTTCACCTTGGCTTCAACAATAAATATATATGTAATTAAATACGCAACTTTCATTAAAATTCTTATGTTGGTTTGTATTTCCATGTCGATTTAAGTATTGCCTGTAACCTATTATTTTTTATTGTCAATTAGCGAGATGCTCCGAATTTGTATGGGAAAGAATTATATTGCATATTTGTCCTCATTACATAGAAAATTTATTTTCTTCTAATAAAAGTGTTCCGGCAGAAAAAAATCCTTTGACTAACAAACTGTTTATAAGGTTTTGAAGGATTAAAACTATTTGTTTACAAGAACATTTAGTAAAATTTTTACTGATAGTTGTGTCACCTAAATTTCACGAAACCGTATTGGGAAACAATAATCTAAATAATTTTATTTTATACTTGACCTAGAATGCCTGCAGTCAATGCCCACGGACTGTGACCCATTTCTGAGCAAAAGAGAAGAAAGGATTTACAACTCGAGGAGAAGATGAGGAGGAGTTGGATGCTTCTAAATTCCTTGTTCAACTTTCTCAAGGCTCGTTAGCTTGAGCAAGTTAAAAAAAGTAATAGAAATCCGTTCTCTCCTTCCTGCCCTTAGAGGTACAACTTAAAGAATTTATATAAGCTAAACTCAATGTTGTGGGCCAATGAAAGCTTTTGGCTACATTAGCCAGTTGTAGCTTAAAGTTTTTTGTTTGGTTTTTTGCTTTGTATTTCTGCATTTAAAATATTAGTCATGAATTTGATATCTAACAACCCACCTCACATGAAGCAAAATTCCACGTAGGATTAATTTGCCCGGTCAAGTTAGGTGCAATAGAAATAAATGATAAATTTTGCGACGGCCCTTTCTTTTATTATTATTATTATTATTTTAATATTTATTATTACTATTATTATTTTTAATAATATTATTATTTTTAATGACTTGTTCTGAAATTAATTAGCTCTCCCTAAGCTTGTAGATTTTTTAGAAAGAAATATATTGTGTTGAACAAAAATCTATTTATGGATGGCACTTAACTGTAGTAGTCGGATAGCTTTGTGAGATGGTGCCTCAGTCTCTGGTAGAATTATTTGGTACGAACATCGGACATACTATACATCCGGACGCCAAAAAAAAGGCGCATGCACGTAGCGCATCGACGACCAAGGACCCGACTCAATGAAATCTAGAAATTTAGCACATGACTTTCCAAATAACCGTGCGACCCGATGACTTGATCTGGATCTAACGCAAAAATTCAAAAGAAACACACTTTTTTTAGGTTTTATGACATTGGTAGACTATATTTTTCATGTGAGACAAGATTTCTACAAAAAAGAGAGTTGAGAAAGAACAAGGAGGAAGAGGATACAAAGATGACAATCTCTTTGGATGACAACAAATTGTGCGAGGAGATGGACAAGACCCAAAAAGTTCAAGAAGACTTACCGCAGCGAAGTATGGAAGTTAAGTTTGTGATATTATCAGTAAGTTTTTAACTCCGAAGAGGTTTTACAACTTATTATTTTAGAATGTAACTATGTGCGTATCTCTTCTGTGTAACTATGTGCATCCATTATATGTGTCATTTTTGTTTTTCTCTCTCTATTTCTTCTATGTGAAGCTTCTGGCAACCGCTTCTCAGTACACCTTTTTAGTACCGAGTAGTATTGCTTCCAGGTACCACTTCTAGGTACCGATTCCCTATAATGAGAAGCACTTGTGTGACTGTTTCTGCAGTGTACTGCTGATTTTTGTGTTCGTCAATGTTTATACCATGAAAATAAGAATATTAGCTTCCCGATACTGCTTCTCGATACCGCTTCCTAATACCAAGAAGCGGTAGAGTGAATTGGTTTCATTACATACAACTAATTTTTGTGTAATGCCATGTTTATATTAGAATATTATATATGTTTTTCTTGTGCACAAGGTGTTTATAACTATGAGAATAAAGCATATGATAAGTATTGCGATTATGTTCATAATTCTGGTTTCACTATCGAAAAGAGCATCATTGTTATTGACCAAATTCAAAGAAAATAAAATCGAAGGGCTTTATTTTATTGAAAGCTAGATTTAAGAAGGATATTGACTTAAATTCGAAATCAAAATATAATAAATCAAACACTGGAACTTGGTGTCCAACTATTATTAGATTTTCAGTGACTAAAGATATAGATTGGATGGTGCAAAAATCTACTAAGATCCATAATCAATAATTAGCTATGTTGGAAGATCAAAATTTGCTTAGATCATATAAGCACATTAGTAATGAGAAAGCTTCAATTCATAAATCAATGATAAAAGTTGGGATAAAAATAGTTGATGCATTTACCTACCTATCCAATAAAGTAGTTGGTGTAGGAAATGTGTGATTCTCTAATAGGGATGCATATAACTTCATTCAAAAAAAGAAAACAGCGAACATTGAGAATGAAAACATGAATCCCTAATTAAATTATTTAAAGAATGACTAGTTCATGACAACATGTTTGCATGGGACGTCTAAACATATGAGGAAGATAGATTATTGATTTTTTTTAGGTTGATGGATTAGGTAGAATAAATTATGACTACTTTGGAGATGTGATAAGTTTTATACAAATTATAAGCTTAACAAATATAATTTAGCTTGAGCATCCTTTATTGGAGTTAATAATCATTAACAAAATGTTCTATTAGGATTTTTTTTATTGGAGGAGATAATTGATTTATTTACCTAACTATTTAGAACATTTTTATGAATAATGGATGATAAACATCACATAGTGATATTTACTAATAAGGACTATCTAATGGCTAGAGCAATAGAAATTGCATTACCTACAACTTGACATAGGCTATACAATTGGCACAAAATAAGAACGCTTCTTCCAAGGTGTGGTACTTCAATAGTAACAACAATGTAAGAGTCTTTTCTTATAGGTATTTAAGCAAGTGTTATTCTCATGATGATTTTGAGAAAATCTGAGTTGAAATAATTGCTGAAGGGGACCTCCAGTGAAGTGCAGGTTAAATGGTATCTCTAGTATAAGATTGAAAGGTCACTAGGACATGAGAAAAAGTAAAAACATATAGGAATGCTTAATAGATGAGTATATTATTCATTAATCAATAAGCCACCTAATAGCTGAATATAAAAGAATGATGATGGGAATAATTGATTCAGAGAAATTTTGATGATGTGTATTTTTTTCAATAAATAATAATGATGATGGGTATCACTCGATTTCACTCGGTATTTCTCAGTGCATGCTCAATACCATTTTTAGTACACGCTCTCTAACATTCAAAACCTCTTGATATTGCTCGATATCACTAAGTAGTAGTGGGTCCCAGTGATATTCCTTTGTAGTGTCCTATTATTTATGGTGGGTGGTTGTGGAAAATAAGCTATTTAATGAAGGTTTGGTGTAACTTTTAAAATTGTCACTATTAGTAGTAGACAAAATTTTGTAATTTAAGGTGTATAACACATTCTCTCTAGCACACCATCATGTTTTGTAAGAATATCTGTTGTGATTAACACTTTTGAGTTGCAAAATTTAGCCCAAAGGCATTTGCGCTTCCAAAGACAAATGGGATTTACTCTTCCATTGATTAGAGAAGCGTTTTTGAGTTACTAGGTCACTTTCTCTTCCTCAAACATAGAGGAAATTGAAGAGGGAATGCCTTGCAGACTTGGAACTGCAAATGCCTTTATGATTCCTGGAAGGTAAATACCCCTCATCTTTGTGGACCATATCTTTGTACTGCAACGGATGTGTTTTGTGATAAATTAATGTAGTAGTTGTACCTATGATTTTAGATTATGCCCCATAAATTATGTTGGTTTGAAACTCAACTACATCTATATATGCCTATGAAAGTCTTCGTAAACCTTGCTACAAGTTAGATGCAGAAATATTTAGAAATACTACAGGAAAACCATTGATTACCATAATATCTTTTGACAAAAAAACTCTTTGCTGGTAATTATGGTGTTCTTACCGACGTTTTATGCGATGATAAAATTATGGCAGAATTTTTAGCATATATTATATCAGTAATTCTCCGACGCATTATCTGTTGTTAAAGTCGTCATAATTTATAAACTCGTATTATAATGCGACGTATGTTCCACCGATAATTGGCGGTGTAATAACTGACATATATTATGCTAGTGTATTTAAACATGATGTACATGTACCATCAAAAAATATGACGAAAACCTCTCCGACATCGTATAAGTCAAAAAAATCGTTGGTCCAAACCCTATTTCTCACATGAGATCATCTACCTTATTATTTTAATCCTAGTCATTTCTATTCACTTAGCTCGCCTCTATCGCCTTAGCCAAACTTCACCGCTGTCAAGACTGACCATCACCCAATGGACATCCACGAAGTTTTTCGACATTCGCTGCCTCAGTCTCTGACTTCCGTCGCTATTTTGAGGCCGTAAGATTCTCTTTTTCATGCATTTTCTCACTAGAAATTTGCAAGAGCATTTACCTTGGTTTATGTATTTTTTTTTGTTGATGATATTATTCATGTTTATATGAGTAAAGAGGGAGTTGAAGGTAAACTTGAATTATGGAGATCAAAGTTAGAGTGCAATTTTAGTAGTACTAGACTTAGTGAGGGGATTGTTACTTTGTGCGATCAAGTCATTAATAAGAGTATATGTCTTAGATATCTTGGATCTATTATTCATAGTGATGGTGAACTAGATGAGAATATTATCAGAAGAATTCAAGTTGGAGGGTTGAAGTGGAGGAATGCATCTGGCTAGTTTTGTGATTGAAAAGTCCACCTCCAACTTAAGGGAAAATTCTATAAGATGGTGGTGAGAGCTGTAATGTTTTATGGTGAGATCTGTAATACTTTTTTATGCTATTAAAAGAGAAACATATTACTAAGTTATGTGTTGCAGAGATGAGGATTCTCATGTGGATAAGTGGGTTTACCCTTAGAGATAGGATCTGAATTGAGCATATACATGATAAGGTTGGAGCAACTCCAGTGGAAAATAAGATTAGAGAGAGTCACTTTAAATGATTTGGGCATATAAAATGGTGGCCTTTTTATGACCGAATAGGGAAAGTAGAGTTATTATATTTGACTTATCTTAAGAAAGGTAGAGGTAGACCTAAAAAGACTTTGTTAGAAATTATTAGAAATGATCTTTCTTTACTAGATTTAAATGAGAATTTGACTTTTAACAAAACACAATGGAGGAAAAGTATTCATGTAGCCGACCCCATGTAGTGGGACAAAGGCTTGATATTTTTGTTGTTATTGTTGTTGAAAATATTTTTAGAAAATTAATAATGTCCAAACCGACGGCTCTCTATTCTGCTATGAGGCGATTCCGAGGTGATTCTGAGGTGCTCTAAGGTTTTCATTCCCAATCATCTTTCCTTTTTGTCTCTCGCATTTTTTTTGTTATTTTCTTTGTTTCTTATGCTTCTCTA